AAGCAATTTTTTATAATACATAAAAACCAATGGCTAATTAAATGCGTGTGTGTCAATTTGTTCCCATTGTAGACAGCTGATATTAGTTTTTTAAGCATACTTCAAAATCTTCAAATTCATATTAATAGTAAAATTAAACACAAAAAAATAAAGGGTTTTCTGTAATATTATTTATTTTAATTTAATGCTAAATTATTTACATGCTGTATGTATTTATTATATTGGATGATCAAACATTTCGTTTGATCATCCAATATAATAAATATTGTTTTGATCATCCAATATAATAAATATTGAAATGTTTACTCATGAGAAGTAGAATGAAGAATTTGGCAAAATATATTAAGTACCATCTGATTGATTCTTTATGCATTGATAACTCCCAAATGTAATGTTAATTTGTTATTATTATTTAAGTTAAATATTGCAATAAGTGGAGATGCCTTATACTGGGAATTTTTGCAGGGAAAGTTATGTAAAGAGGAAAAGTTGTAGAAACATGAGATGACTGTCTATGTGAAAATATCCTGATTCATTTACACGTACAAAAGTTTATGATTATAAATTTAGAATATATATGAGGACTAATTGAAAAGTAATGGTACTGCCTCTGTTTTTCTTTCTAAAAAGTAGTCATGGTAATATTGTGCAGGTGTTTGTGAACATCGTATGTCAATGTGACTGAACCTGCAGTTTGATTACCATACTGTATGTAAAGCATTTTATTACATCAAGTGAAAGAAAGACCTTGCATGTTATCACGATAGATGACGTAGACACTTCTCTGAAAGCACTGTTCTTTAATGCACATGATATGATCCTACAGCACTGGCATACCTGTGGACAGACAGTTAATAGCATTTACTATGCTAATTTCCTAAAAATCCATGTGCATGGGACCATAAGGAAGAGAAGACCAAATTTACCCAAAAGAGTGCTTTTTGCTCCAGGACAATGCCTTGCCACATGCTGCTGCTGCAATGATGGGACTGCACTGGGACACCTCCATATAGTTTGGACCAGAGATCATATGCTTTCTGGATATATCCAATACTGAAAAAAACAACACAGAAAGTTCTCTGATGTTGAGGTGAAAAATGCTACAGCTGCAATCATAGCACTTAAAAACACACACATGCATACAAATCCAGCCCTTTAAAGTAATTGTTGTCCACAAATATTTTATCTTAGGTTTTAAATATTATATCTTGTACAGCCAATAATAAATAAATTTTCAAGATTACTTTTTATTACATTTAGTAATCTAAATATATTAAATTGAAATTAAATTAATCAACTGTTTGAATTAATATTAAATCATACTAAAGTTATGCAATTAATATTTAAATTGCAGATGTAAAATTATTTCACGTATAAGGTGATTATAATTAAAGTAATCATGCTCTTGCTAATCCAAACTAATTATTGTACAAAAATTGTTTGAAGTTTCCCTATCTGGTATTTAATTAGCAGGAATAAAAGAAAGACGAAAAGGATTACAAAACACACACATTTAAAATGTGTAATATTTATTAATTGTACAAATTCTGCGTGTTTTTAGGAAAATTATCTATAATTTTTTTGTTTTTTTGGCTGGGTTATTTACTAATAAAAAATGAAAAACGAGTAATTATTTATTGCGACATTGCCACAATGCTGAGCCTGCAATTTTTAATCATATTTTTAATTTATTTAATTTAAAATATATGTTTTCCACCTCAAATTAGTAGTGGCTTGCCTTTGTACATCATACTTTTCCTTTAACAATAGTCGTGCCTGTCATCTATTAATTGCTTTCAGGGAAAAAGTTTTGAATTGTAATAACGTGACTTCTGGTTTGCATCAGAAGTTCATATATTGTTAATCGGGGCCTCCTGCCGCCAAGGTTTCCCTATCTGGTATTGGATTTCATCTATCTGACCATGGGCGTAGCAAGGGGGGGAGCATGGGTGGGCACGGCCCCTCCCAGGGAACCTGGTGCCCCCCAGGAAATCACAGCCGAAAAAGTGTTGAGTCGATTTGTAAACACCTAAAGCTAAAATAAAAGTTTTGAATACTAAAAAAAAAAAGGTGAATGGCTTGCTCGGTGCCCAATAATGAACAATAATTTGAAATAATTCAATTTTGTGTCAGGTTGGCCTCCACTAGGCCCCCCATAACAAAACTCTGGCTACGCCCATGTATCTAACTCTGTTCTCGAGATTAAGGAAAGATGGACGGATGACAGTGGGAATTTATAGGGCTATAATTTTTTAAAATTGCAGCTGAGTAAGTTCAGATTAAGCAGAAGTTTAGATTAGTGAAAATACACTGTCTATTTTTAGAAAAGTTACTATTAATGAAAATATTCCAAATGAATGGAAATATCACAATTGTGTAAATGATGTTTAATTAAAGCTGCAACATCTAGGCACTAAAAATTATACAAGTTATAACTTATAATTCATATGTTTTATGGCTTTTATAACTGCTTATATGTTTATGTAACTATTTATATGGTTTTTAGTGCCTGGATATCCTAACTTTAATGACGATACAGGAAATAATAAACACAAAACCATTAGATTAGTCTTATTTATACAAATAATTTAAATATATAAAATATTAAAAAGTTAGGGAAAAAAAAATAGAAAAAACAGTTAATAAAATTATCAAACAGTATATGAGGAGGAGGAATTTTCCCTTAAAAATTTTTTGTCTAACTCCAGTTAAACGATGAGAAATTGAGACAATGAGAAACAGTTTCGAGAAACAACACACTAATGTCATTATAACATTTCAAATTAACAGTAAATTAGATTTTTATAAAATCTGAATCTTGTGGTGGTAGTGACACACATTCATTTCATTTAATTACTTTGATTCAAATTTCATTTGACTTGACTTTAGCCACTTCAATTTTTTTCTTTGTTTGATTATTTGACTGTAGATATAATTCAACAATAAGTTTAATTAAGAGATTAAATAACTTTTAATCTTTGTTTGAATTTTTAATTTTGAAAAATTTTTCAAAGCCTTCATTAACAATAAAACAAACTACCTACTAAAAACAGAAATAACAGTATGTCTATTGATTCAGAAGCACAGGGTATCTAAAAAGTTACTGTGTAGTGGAAAAAAATAAGGATTAAGTGAAGTTTTATATACAATATTGCAGTTTATCCTATAGTAAATGCTGGAGATCTTCTCCAGAGACTTGAAGATGTGTTTGCACGCAATGCTGAATATTGTTGAACACATTCTGGGGTTGCAGTCTTCAGCTCCTCCGGAGTATGCGGGTTGTTCTCATATGCTTGTTCCTTCAATGCACTCCAGAGATAAAAATCCAGGGGAGTGAGGTCTGGAGATCTAAGAGGTAAGATTTCATAGGACCTTATGCATTCAGCAAAGAAGTTTTCCAAAAGCTTACAAATTTCTCACTGAATAGTAATTTTTTTGAACACTATATGTCAATCAATGTCTGAAATTTTACATTCATATTTTCCCTAAATATATTCTAAATACTTTTAGAATATATTTAGAAATTTTTAGAAATTATGTTTTTACGAATCCTAAGATATTTACATCGCAATTTGCCATTAAAAGATATTTAATAAAAGTCCTTATTCATTATTTTAGCTGATATTTGATGAAACCAAATGCCAGTTGGAATTTAGATAATCCACTTTTTTTAATTTTTGACATTTCATAATATATTGAATAAACTGCTAACGTAGATTATTACTTCCTGGCTGTTATACATAACAGAGGAAAAGTATGGCAATTGGTCAAAAAATGACCCTCTAAGATTTTTACATCTTTGGACTCGAGTCTTTGAAATGCCCAGAAATGCAAAATATTCGAGGGTTTTTTTCTGTATGTATGGACATTAGTGTATGTGGGGGGCATGATTTTGTTTACCCTCTTTGAAGCTTAATAACTCCTGTGCTTTTTGTCCAAATTTTCTGAAATTTTGCAAGGAGGTTTGTTTACTAGGGGATCGATGCTATTTAATTTTGGGAATTAAAGGTCGACAGGATGGAGAGATAAAATGGGTCGTGTGTATCTCCAGTGAACAGATAAAATTAAAGCCATACTAAACTATCTGAATTTCTGCTACAGCGAATGTTCTTTAGTACAGTATTCTGCAGTAAAATTTGATCAGTTTGTATGATGTAAGATTGGAGTTGACAACACTCTTCTGGTCATAGTTGCCACTTTAGTCATTCTCATTAGTTGACAAAAAAAATTTGCTGTTTTTTCATTTTATTTATTTACGAAATAATAAAAAAGGCATTATCTATGATGTTCATTCAATTAAAATAAAAAAAGCAAAGCTGTAATGCAATTTTATTCAGCCAACTAATGTGATGAAAGTAGAAATAATGACTGTAAGAATGTTGTTGATAGCCGAAGAATGTAGTCGTTATGTCATGCAAACTGATCAAATTTCAATGCGGCGTATTATACCTATCACAATATCTGTATTAAGGAATACTAGCATTACACATTTGTAAAATCGGAATGTCAAGCTTGAATGTTGTTGAATGAATGTTGAAAGCTTGAAGTATGAGAAACTCTCTTGTTTCCATTTGTATCAATGTTCTCATAAAGGGTGCATTTCCTAGTAAAGCCACTTTGTTAAAAGACAATTACAGTAAGCTATTTTCATTTTAAGTTATCTGCCTTAACACTAGTGCAGTGAGGTTCATAAGTGCTGAAGAAAGGAGTGAAGATGGCTGCCACCATAAATTTTATGCATATCACATACTGTACCTCAAATGAAAACTGTGACATTCAAAAATCAATTTTAAACTGGTTATCGGAAAAATTAGAGATGAAGTTTTCCATATAATTTTCTATTTCGACATAAACTTCTTCAGATTCATTAGTAATGGTGAATGCACACGTTCTGTTGTTGTTTACCATATAGTTAATTACATTTTTATATAATATCGATTTTTCTTGATTGGATGCCTCTGATATTTTATAGTTATTGCAACAATTCTGCATTGTTTCAGGTTAAACATTTTTATTTGTACAAAACAATGTGTACAAAGAGTCAAACAACAATGGTGAGTAGCTGTAGTGTAGAAGTGTTTCCTACGAAAGCAGAAATTGCTTAAAGTGCTCTCCAACGGCTTTACTAGGAAAAACATTCAAGGTTGGGTATTTTTACTACATAATTTCAGTCAGTGCAGTCTTAAAAGCTTATTTTAACTGTTTGTTACAATAGTGTCACTACCTTGTTGGTTTATTTTCATTGCTGTCTACTACATATTAAAGAAAATGCAATTCATATACAATTTTTAATATAGGGTACTGAGCAAAGTTTGTTGAATTACTGCTTGCAAACATATTCTTCAATGACACCATTAAGCATTTGTTAATAAGATGATTAGCATTTATAGTATATTTTAAGTGTAATTATTATTTACTATCACTGGTACAAAAATCCAAGGCAAATATACAATTAAAAGTTTGTGTAATAGGAGAAACATACTAAAGAAAAGCATTTCTTAACGTCCTTTTATAAAATGTAAAAACACTAGACGTCAAGTAATGTTACAAAACTAACAATACAACTGTCTATCAGCATTATGGAAAAGACATATTATGCAATTACTAGTACTAGTAGCATTCTGTTCTCTGTGAATGATATTGCCTGAAGAGGACAGTTATATAATGTGAAAAATACTTGCATAAATAAATCTCTTCTGTAAGGCCACTAGACAGTTGTATAGTTAATTGTCTTCTTTTTCTTACATCCTTGAAAATGCCACCAAATCATATAGTATTTTTAATTAAATTAGGTATTGAGGTTTTAGATGGATAAGAGCCTTAAATTTGACCCTACCATATGTTGAGTTTCAAAGGAATATGAAGACACGCTTATTTTATTTTTTTGTTTTAGTATTTTTTCTATTATACAGAACTTTTAAAATGTTCTCATTAAAACCATGAGTTGATATTACAAATAAATTTTCAGTGTTTTAGTTTGTAAAGTACTATTTTTAATTGGTTGCTCTACAACGATATTTTTCTTAGAGCCGGGACCTAACGGGTACTTTACGCGGGTTCGCGTTTGTTAGTTGCCAGGCCTGGACTTTTAGCGTGCACCGAAATAAATTAAGGACAAAGTTAGTCACAAAAAAATCTCAATAATAAATGTTTAATCAAGTTTAACCAATACTATGTACAAGATTTATAAACAAACAACAAATTTATTAATCAAAATCAAATCACAAATCAACCCGACAAACTTAAGTCTTATTCTAACTTAGAACTATTCCCCTTGGAATTCCGACAAAACAAAATCCAATTCTTAACTTAGATACAAATTCTCTTATAACTATCAATCCTAACCGTCACCTCAATTAATACTCGGAACCTTTTCTTCTACTCAAGACTTTCCTATTTCCAAATCACCAAAATCGAACCTTCAATCTCCTACTAGGATTTCCTATTCGACACCTATTCACTGCTACCAGCAGACCAACGCTTTCCGTTCAGGAGCTCACCTCTTCTGTCTTCACTTGAGCTACTGTACTTATAGTATGAGGTGACGTCACAGTTCTACTGTAGCCACTCCCCTCATTTACATATCTACACGTAACATTGTTTTCTCTTCGTTATCTGGTAGCTTATTTCTCGACAGTACTTTGTTAACCTTTTACAGCATTTCTTTAACAATTATCGGGATGTTTTGTTAAGGTTACACAAGTTCCTAGAAAGCCTATTGGGGTGTCTCCCCCTTCAGTGCGGACTTACAATTCTGCCACTCGGGCGTGCACATGAGTGCAATGCTAGCTATGGCGCTATCGTTTCGTCGTCGGTGAGTTGGTTAATCTTTTATCTTCTCGTTTTGAACATTAGGGTGGTGGGTGAGGAAACTTTCGTCCTAACCAAACATAAGCCCCAAACAAAAAATATAATAAAGCAAAGTAAAAGTAAACTAAAAATAAAGCACGGACTTGGTTCCTTACAAGTTTAATTAAGCTAGGTTCGTGCTGTCTTACAAACCACTAGAAAAGAATGAAATGAAGACTAATCAAAGCAAAATGTTCGCACCATAGTACATGAAATAAAGTGTGTTAGAAAATGATCAGTCAAAAATATTTTAAATACTAGGTGTGAAAAGATGATCGGTCAAATCAAGATTTGTCAAAAGTTGAGAATTTTCTACTTCTAATGAACTGGTAAAACAATTGCCAAAAGGGCAGTTTGTATGCCAATGTGAACCTAGCTTTAATTTGGGGAAATTGGTTAGAGTTATTCAGATGAAACAGGAATGAGTTAGAATTTTTCCCATAAAAAATAATGACAAAATTTTCTGGTATTCAAATTATTTTCAGGAATAATTAGGTTCAGATAATGAGAATGGCTGTATCTCTCATTTTTCCAGTTTGGACTTTTTTGATTATAATAATATAAAATAATATATATTGCAATATATTTTGTATGATGATTACTTTGTAGTAACAGCAAGTTTATAGAATATTTTCAATATGATTGAAGATAGCGTAAAAATTTTGTATAAGAAATGCACATGGCACGTGCTGATGGTTATTGTAATCAGAACTGCATTGTTTGCTGTATTTATTTCTATGTCTTGAAACCGAAATGTTTATACGTTTACATTTTATAATAAAAGATGTGTATTATTTTCAATTTTACAATCATTTACAATAATATAAGTGTAGAAATTCTTTCCTAGGGTTTTCTCTAGAAAACCCTAGAAAAAGAAACTAGCAGTATTCTCTCAATATTATTCTTGCAATAGTATGATTTAAATAAAATAATTTACACGAATGCATGATTTAAAGTGGGATAATTTTGTGATTTTGAATTGCCTTCTAATTGTTAGTTACCATTAACTTCAGATAAATACAAGGTCTGTTCAAAAAGTATCGGACCTTTGGTCGGCAAAAATAAATTTATTGACTTTGAGGTACAAAACCCTAATCCCCTTCAAAGTAGTCTCCTTGGTAATGTATACACTTCTCCCAGCGTTCCTGCCATTGCTGGAAACACTGCTGGAACGCATCTTTTGGAATGG